TGGAGGGAGGGAGGGAGAGAGAGAGATAGAGAGAGAGATAGATGGGGGAGGAGGGGAGGGGGGAACAGCAGCACGCGTGAATAAAAAAAAGAAACGTTTGTCTTATAAAAGGCGTTAGATTATGCAACTGTTGTCCCGATGAGTATCGAATGAAAATAGTTGCAGAAGCAGCAGAAGCAACAGAAGCAAAAGCAGTAGCAACAGCAGTGGTAGCCCTTCAGGATGTCCCGAAAAGATGCTGGAAATGGCCATAAACTGAAAAGGTGTAATTGAATCACAACAAAATCTCGGCAAAGTACTCACACTTATTATGTACCTCTCAATTAATGTCATCCTCGTGAAAATCGATTCATTTTTTCCGTGGGCGCTCAAGGCAATATTATAGATCTAAAGTCTCCATAAAAAACGTCTTGTCAAGAATATGAAACCAATTTTTCCTCTTGCTCAATGACATCATCTTCCTCTTTGAAGATTTGAGCTGATATATTATTATGTTCTTATCTGTCACAGAGGACCGGGGGCGCTCACAGCCTGGATCATCTACAAGATTTGAACTCCCTGCCTTGAACATGCCTCACCATTGATGGGCTTTATTTTTTTTTTTATTATTTTTTTTTTTGTCCCTTGCCCATGTCTATGATATTGACGCCATCTGATTAGTAGAAAAATGTGCGTATGAGAGTGCCCAATAATGAATAACGTACAAATTTGTTATGACATATAACTGTTACATATAGATGTTTAAGATAATTATAGATGTTTGTGAAGGATCTGAGAGCAATGATGACCTTAGAAATGACGGTAATGGTGGTGGTAAGTGATGATGTGGGATGGTGCTTACGTTTATAATTATAAGAAAACATGCTTCTGTTATTTGATTGTTGTTGTTTAAAAAAAATAATAATGTTAGCGTTATTTAAAACTCTTCACATTTTTGCCACACACGGAAGTTCAATGTGAATTTCAGCTTTTGGGAGTACGTTGACAACTTTTCAATGATGGTAGACATTTTACTTCAACAACTTTTCATTAGTGTATGTAAGGATGGTGTTGTGATTTTTTGGGAGGAATAACTCCTGTCGCTGTAAAGCATTTGCAAATTTAAGATCAATGCATTACTTTTTTTTAGCTATGGTCATTTTCACCTTGATTATGGGACATCCTTCGTATAAGCAGCAGCAGCAGCAGTACTAGTATAGTATTCGTATAAGCAGCAGCAGCAGCAGTACTAGTATAGTATTAGATCTAGATTTTTGTGGTATAAGTAGTAATATTAGAAGTAGTAGTAGTAGTAGTAGTAGTAGTAGTAGTAGTAGTAGTAGTAGTAGTAGCAGCAGCAGCAGCAGCAGCAGCAGCAGCAGCAGCAGCAGCAGTAGTAGTAGTAGTAGTAGTAGTAGTAGTAGTAGTAGTTGTTGTTGGAGTAAAAAGAGCAGCAGTTGCTGCAGCAGCTACAGTAGCAGCAACATTAGTTATAGCAGTATTTGCCGCCATTGTAACTGCTGCTGTTGTAGGGACAATGTAAAACCTACCTTGCTGACACTTTGATCGCCACATTGCCCTTTGTCGAACCACCATTTCTGATGCATTTTGATCAGTTCTCCTTTCTCTTTCAGCGTGAGCACTGCAATGTTTATACTGTCTCTGTGTGAAGGAAAAGAACATAGAGTATTATATACATGTACCGTTTTGTAAACATAGTTTGTATTAATGTATAATAAATATAGATTACCAACATTCTTCTCCCTAGCGTGAACTAATTAGCTTGCAACAGAATTCCCCTCTGCGGTGAAAAAATGGCATGTCCCCCTCCCAGCTTACTCCGCTCCTCTCTCTCTCTCTCTCTCTCTCTCTCTCTCTCTCTCTCTCTCTCTCTCTCTCTCTCTCTCTCTCTCACTTCTCTCTCTCTGTCTCACTTCTCTCTACCTTGACGTCTGTGTGCGTCTGTTAAGCACTTGCAAAACAACGCACAAATCACCCCAACATCGTCTGAACAACACCAAAGCTAACATCATCACAACTACCAGTTCTATAAATTAAACACCCCCTCCTGTTACAGTACAGAGACTCCACGAAAAACATTCAGTGTTGTCCATGTAACAGGATTTGGCTCTAATAAGCCTATAAGTCTTGTCTTTATAATGTATGACAGGCCTATAAGTCTATAAGTCTTCTCTTTATAAGGCCGAGTTTAAAATTATAATGTTTTATAGAACACCTCCGAGAACACAGCACGGTAAAAACAGTGGTCTAACCATCGACATAATGTCATATTGAAAGAAAACAGACATGACAACAGAAAAAGCAAA